GAAAAAAAACAACCCCAGAAGAGAGAGAAGCAGCAGGGAAAAGAAACCCAAGAAGAAACTGAACGCACGCAGCCGGAGCCAGGAGTTTCACGATGGTAAAACTCGTGGTCTGCTACTAAAGATACAAAAATTAGCTGGGCGTGGTGGGGTGCAACTGTATCCCAGTACTCAGGAGGCTGAAGGCAGGAGATCACTTGAACCTGGGAGGTGGAGCTTTGCAGTGAGTGAGATCAACCCACTGCACTTCAGCATGGGCAACAGAGCAGAGCTCTTGTCTCAAAGAAACAAAACACAAACAAAACCTACGGATGGAACCGTACCAACACAAAGTAAAATAGTTAAAAGATCTGAACAGTCCCAATTAGAGAGAGGAGTATGAGAAAGTAAACTGGAAGCGCTTAACATTGCTGAGATGGAGTGTTTAAACTGGAGACACCCCTATGGAGCGTCGGTAGCATCTATTAAACATTAGCGCTGGACTCTAGTGAGCTGAGCATGCCCACGTCGAGAATCAGCCGGGAAAAGCGCTTCATGGTGTCACAAAAACAGCAAGAGTTTTCACAGGCTGCAATCATGTGGTACAGCCCCCGCCAAACTGGAAAATACCCAACAGTAGTATTAACAATGGAATAGACGCCGCCCGCGGTGGCTCACGCCTGATTAAGCCCAGCACTTTGGAAGGCCAAGGCGGGCGGATCACGAAGGTCAGAGATCGAGACGCAGGTGAAACCCGTCTCTACTAAAAATACAAAAATTAGCCTGGGCCCGAGGGAGCGCGCCTGTTCAGTCCCGTACCGTCGGAGGGCTGAGGCGGAGATTGGCAGTGACCAGTGGCAGTGACAGACGGCATGCAGAAGCCGGGGCGACCAGACGATGGCGCAAAAAAAGAAAATATAAAAAGAAAGTGAGACAATATGACCCATGAATGACGCGCAATGTATGCTGACACGAACATGAATGAATTATCACCAAACATATATATTAACAAAAGAAGCCTGGCATAGAAAACAGTGATGTTTTTTTTTTTTTTTTTTTTTTGAGGTGGAGTCTCGCTTTGTCACCCAGGCTGGAGTGCAGTGGCGTGATCTTGGCTCGCTGCAAGCTCCGCCTCCCGGGTTCACGCCATTCTCCTGCCTCAGGCTCCCGAGTAGCTAGGACTACAGGTGCCCACCACCACGCCCAGCTCATTTTTTATATTTTTAGTAGAGACGGAGTTTCACTGTGTTAGCCAAGATGGTCTCGATCTCCTGACCTTGTGATACGCCCGCCTCGGCCTCCCATAGTGCTGGGATTGCAGGCATGAGCCACCGTGCCCAGCCCCAGTGTATATCCTCTTTTTTGTGTCCGCTTTCCCCTTTTTAATTTTTTAAAAATATTCCTCCCTCCCTCCCTTCCTTCCTTCCTTTTTTTGAGACAGAGTTTCCCTCTTGCTGCCCAGGCTGGAGTGCAGTGGCACAATTTCAGCTTACTGCAACCTCCGCCTCCCAGGTTCAAGCAATTCTCCTGCCTCAGCCTCCCAAGTAGTTGGGATTACAGGCTTGTGCCACCACGGCCAGCTAATTTTGTATTTTTAGTAGAGACAGGGTTTCACCATGTTGGTCATGCTGGTCTCGAACTCCTGACCTCAGGTGATCC